TACAGATGGGGTGAGAAGTTCAGTTATACAGGAGAGACTCAGAGTAGAGCTCCTCCACATCAAGAGGAGCCAGTTGAAGTGGTTCGGACATCTGATAAGGATGCTTTCAGGGCGCCTTCATAGGGATGCGCTTGGGGCATGTCCGACAGGGAGGAGACTCCGGGGAAGACCCAGGACACACTGGAGAGACTATGTCACTCAGTTGGCCTGGGAATGCTTTGGAAACCTCCCAGAAGAGCTGGAAAAGGAGGCTTGTGGAAAAAGATGTCTGGGCCTCCCTGCTTAAGCTGCCACCCCTGCAACTCAATGTGGAACAAGAGTAAAATGATGGATGGATGGATGGATGGATGGAAACAAATCAGTGCAAAGACTGGGTATAAAGATCATTTCAGAGAGCTTGAAGGGTGGGCAAAGATGGGCAAAGTTTCATGAGTCTGCAAAAAACTACCTAAAGTAGAGAAATAATGAAAATTTGGAAGACTTTGAATATCCCCTCCTCTACATTTCATAATATTATCAAAAAATTTTAAGAATGCAGAGAAATCTCTGAACATAAAAACAAGACAAAAAGTTAATAAGTTGCACGTCTGTGATCTTCAAGTCCTCAGACAGCACTGCATTATAAACATGTCTGATTCTGTGATGGACATCACTGGGCTCAGGAACACTGCATCCAATCATTATCTGTAAACACAGTTCAGTGGGCCATTCACAAATGTTGCTTAAAGCTCAATCATACAAAGAAGTGGCCGTATGTGAACACCATTCAGAAACATAGCCGTCTTCACTGGGCCAAAACTCATTTTAAATGGACTGAGGCAAGATGGCAAACTTCTGATATCAGAGAAATCAAAATTTGAAATTATTTTTAGAAACCACAAAAATCCAATCTTCCATGCTAAAGAGAGGAGGAACTATCTGGCCTGCACACATCAATGGCACAAGGTTTTAGAACAAATGTTCCCATCCAGACATCTTTTATTAAAGAGACCGTGCACATTTCAGTAAGACAACGCAAAACCACATACTGCATCCATTACGACAGCATGTCTTTGTAGTAGAGGAGTCCAGGTGCTGAACTGGCCTGCCTGAAGTCCTGATCTCTCACCAAATTAAAACATTTGAAGCACCATAACATGGAACAAAAACCTCCATCAAAGAAGAACCCTTAACTGTTAAATGGCTAAATTTTTACATCAAACCAGAATGGGACAACATTCATCTCCAAAATCAATTCCTTAGTTTAGACATGTGATATTTATTAAATTTGCACATCATTGCATTCTGGTTTAATTTACATTTCATACAACGTCCTAACTTTTTAGGGATTTTGGAAAAAGTTAGATAAAACAGGAAATTAAGTTAGATAAAATGGGAATAAAAACATGTAGAGAGAGACAAAACTAGCTAAACACAAGAAGTGTTGAACAAAATCTATTTCTGCAACAAAACCAAGATTTACAAAAGCATGCCAGAGGATATTAACAAAAATAAGGCAAAATCTAAGACCAAAACTATTGATTTTTGAAATTTGCAACATTGTAATAAAAAGGAAACCTTTAGGGAGTCAAAAGTTTTTATGACAGACCTTTTTTTATTTCAAATGTGTTCATCCATCCATCCATCCATTATCTTTTACCCGCTTATTCCATTTTGGGTCACGGGGGTCGCTGGTGCCCATGTCCAGCAATCACTGTGCGAGGGGCGGGGTACACCCTGGACGGGTCGCAAGTCCATCACAGGGACACATAGAGACAAACGAGACAAACAACCATTCACTCTCTCACTCACACCTAGGGACAATTTAGAGTTACCAATCAGCCTAACATGCATGTTTTTGGTCTGTGGGAGGAAACCGGAGCACCCGGAGAAAACCCACGCATGCACGGAGAGAACATGCAAACTCCACCCAGAAAGGCCCCTGGACCGGGGTTTGAACCAGGGACCTGCTCGCTGAGAGGCAGCAGCTCTACCAGTTGTGCCACCGTGCTGCCTCAAATGTGTTCAGTATACAGTAAATAACTTTTGTGTTGGCCTCATCTATCTATACTAAAGATCCTGTGTTTTGATAATTAAAAACGATTTTAAAATATCATACACGTTAGGCCTGTCACGATAAACAATAAATCAATCACATGATAAATGAAAATTATCGACCGTATTTTTATTTATCGGCTGATAATTCTCTCTTTCTACTGAAGACACTGGATGACAAAAAGCTCAACGCCGGTGCTCTTCACTGACCCCTCCATTTCTCTTTTCTCTTTAAAATATGTTTTAACGATCCAAAATCGCATTTTTGAATCATTAAAAGCAACTAACCCGAGAAGCTAAGCTACAAGCTAAGCTAACAGGCGGACCTCGGAAAAAACCTGTCTTGTCGAAGCTCCAAAATTCACGGTTGAAACTAGGGGTGCACCGATTGCAGTTTTCTGGACGATCACCGATCACTGATTTCTAAAAAGTCTGACCTGACGATTCCGATTTTGGCCGAAACCGATTGTGTTTTATAAGCAACACTGTCAGGTGTTACAAGGTCACAATGCACCTTCAATTTTCCATTATTATTTTGTTGAAAAACATACCCTTGAACAATATCCTAGAAACAATAAAATTTGTTTTAAACTGGCCATGAGGTAGTGCTCTGAAATATAAATGGTTTAGACAATTGTTGTTAAAACTAAAAAAATCGGTAAAATCGGTTTCTCATTCAAGTATCGGCCGATTTCCGATTTCCCAAAATTAAGGAAATCTGGGCCGATAAATTGGCCGGCCGATTTATCAGTGCTCCCCTAGTTGAAATCCGTGCCTTCATGTTAAAAGTTGTTTTTCTCAGAATAAAGAAGCGGAGAAACTGCCTTATACTGCCATCCGGTGGTTGAAAATAGGTACAACACTCAAAACAAATTAACCAATTCTTCTTAAATTTGACAATAATTACTAATTGTTATCAAATTTCAAACAATATTATCGTTTAACGCAATAATTTCTGAGACAATTAATGGCCCAGCAAAATTTGTTGTTGTGACATCCTAATACACATCTGTTAAAAACATATGATAATCTTGACTAACGTACATAATGAGCAACATAAAATAAAGACGCGCACACACACACACACAAACAAACATACACAAGCACATTGAGTGTTTTCTTCAGACTGTTTTTGGCTTATTTACTCTCTTTTTATTAGCCTAACTTTAAATAAAGCCTTCAGTTAACACCAATAATCACAAAGGACGGTTGTTTTATGTTCCCTAAAGTAAAGAAGACCGCCTCAACTCTAGTCGTAGTATGACTCACATGGATATTTGACATGATAAATAGATGAACTGCAGCTACAGAGCTGACAGCTGGACCATGGAGGAAAAAAGCTGAGCATCTCAGTTCTGAGCAGGATGTCACGCTTCAAGTAACATCAAGACTCTGGTGAAATCACTGCAGCACAGAGCTCAACACTCAGAGCCGCTCTGTCCTAAAGCAACACACACCGTGGGTCTTATTACGTCTTCCACGACTGCGATGCTGACAGCGGGTTTTTAAAACATCTGAACACCTGTCATAGAGCACCGATCGCTGACCAAGGTGCTAAATCCCCTCCTGGTTCTGATTCATCTTATCTCACACACAACCACTAAGGTATATGAATGAATCCACTGAACCTTCCCCACCTGGGCTCCTTCCCCTGTAATTTACTACAGTCCTCTGTTTATGATGCTTCCTGTCTGGTGAAAAACGTGCAAGAGAAAATGAACTGATAATTACTCTTAAGAAATACCCCAGCATAACATTCTCTTAGGGGAGCTAATAAAAAAACAGTGAGGAAGCAAATAAGTTTGAGTCAGGTATTCTGGATGGATTCTTCTTAGTTGAAACATTTTGTCTTTTATCCCAGAAAAACTTCTTCAGTCTGAGGAGCTGCAACAAACTCAGTCAGGTTATGGGGTCACCAGGACTCTGTACCACAGAGCAGACAGCGTCCAGATAAACCCAGGAGCCAGGGAGAAGGAGAAATCCCACTCAAGACAGGACCTGGAGCAATGTGGATATCCTAACTGGACCTTTCTGAAAGCAGAGAAGAAACCCAAACAGGACTCCAGCCATCCATCAGGTGAAAAGGAGGAACCAAGACCCAAACCAGTGGTTGTTCTGTATGTTGCGAGAGTTTCAGAGAAACTGAGATGTTTATTTTCTAAACATGACATCCCAGTGGCTTTTAAACCCCAAAATACATTACAGCAAAGACTGGTTCATCCCAAAGATCTGGTCCCCTGCCAAATTGTGTATGTTGTTCTGTGCTAGGAGGACTGTGATCAGTTATACACTGTGTAAACAAAGCAGCCGCTGGCCAAAAGGATGGCCCAGCACAGAAGATCAACATCATCAGGCCAGGACTCTGTGGTCTACATTCATCTGCAGACCAATGGTCACTTGTTCAGGGATGAAGATGTTCACATCCTGGATAGAGAGGAACAATGGTTTGAGAGAGGAGTAAAGGAAGCCATCTTTGTGAAGAGGACCTACCTGCCTCTGTGACCAGCAGTCCCCCTCTTACAAAGCCGTTATTGCATCACTCGGCCCTCAGCCATCACTAACGCTTTGTTGTTAGACTGGTGGTCCTCATTTTGCATGTGAACAGCTAGTTTTGGCTGTCACCAACAGATTGGTTGATTCACTCTGAGGAGGTGCTATTTATAAGACTGAGTTTGTTGCAGCTCCTCAGACTGAAGAAGTCTTTTGGATAAAAAACAAAACGCTTCAACAAAGAAGAATCCATCCAGAGGACCTGACTCAACCTGGTTAGATGGATTATTGAAAATGCATCAGGACATCAGTGAGGTAGCAATAAAATCACAACATATCTCCATGGATTTATCCCAAAAATATTATTTAAACACAATAAAAAGAATTAAAGTTTGATTAGTCATGTGTTATTATTAACAGAACTAAAAATTCTGCTATGATAAGTGGTTTTATTTTGTCCCATCCAGTTATCTTACCTCTGAATGTAACTTTGGCGATCCGGTCACCTCTGCCCCGCAGGTGAGCCACCGTCTTCAGGTGAACCACTAGAGCCATCATGAGTCCACTCTGAGCAGGAGGGGGGAGTGATTTGACCCCCCCACAGATCAAACTTCTACCGCTTTGGCGCAATCAGCGCGTCTTTACGTGAGACTCTGCTCCGCTCTGGATGCGCTCTGCCCCCAAAACCGCGGTCCTTAATGACGTCACGGACATTTAGAAGGCGATGAAGCTGAGAGAAACAGGAAAAAAGTGAAAATAAATAAACAAGTAAATAAAAATAAAAATCCAGTTCGCGTTTACTCCAACTCTGAGCTCCGTGGCTGCCCTGCTCCTTGGCTCAGCTGGTGCTGGATTTAACTTGCGCAGGAAGGGTGCGGGGGGGGGGGGGGGGGGGGGGGTGGGGGTGTTGGGCTGCCTGTTGGTGGGG